GGTATTTCCAGAATATCGTTTAATAAAAAGGCAGTTGGCAGTGGTGCTACAACTAATAGCTCTGCTTCTTTTGAACAAAGTATAGGTGAAATTAAAGGAAGGGCTGGAACAGAAGAGGCAGAAAATAAAAGAGGAATGAAAAACAGAAAAACTGGGGAGAATGTATTAAAAAAGAAGATAAGGTAAACAGAATTTTTTAAAGAAAGGGAAAGAGAAGGAAAGAAAGTGATGCAGGAGAAAACGAGAGAAAAATATATAGTCAAATTTATTATAGAGTAATAAATTTATCAAACAATTTTAATAGTTAACCTAACAATATCATTATGAAATCAAATCTAAGTTCAAACCATGTATTATTTTTCTCCAAAGAATTAGTAACTCATTATCATCTGTGCTTTACAGATGATAATAGAAGCCTTGAAAAGTTCACGTGCCTCAAGTTATGATTTACTGGATTGTTTTGTTATTGTTGTTTTTTATTTTTAAGTAAACTCTATGCCCAACATGGGGCACAAACTCAGGACTCTGAGATCAAGAGTCGTGTGCTCTATAAACTGAGCCAGCCAGGCGCCCCTTTACACATGCCTAAAGGTAACTAAGTCAAGATTACTAAGAGTGTTTATATTCACAAGAGGACTCACTGGGAGCTCCTTTAAAGAGAGCCAACACTGTTAGTGCACTCAAAATGAATTAACTAGATTTGTAAGAAATTGGTATTTACCTAACTTCTATGAAATAGTTTTTACATAAATCAAGATACAAAGACTTTCTTTCCCAATCCATAAAAAATTTCAAATTGAAAGCACTACTCTACTTATCAGATACAAAAAATACAATTTAAGTGATTTTGAAGTATTAAAAACTGTTTTCCCATAATACAAAAATCACTAACACACTGTAGTATGAACACCTGTTAGCATCAACAATAATTAAAAAAAAAAAAGTAAAATGCACTCTGATATACAACTCAGCAACATGAAGCACAGTGAAATGTGGTAGTTTATACAAGGTCAGCATATCTGCCATAATGTCAAACCTAATCTGTAGACATCTAAAGGACACACTAGGCTGCTAGCAATACTTTCATAAGACTATTTTTGTCCACATCCATGGTAGTTTTAATTAAAAAAAAAAAATAAAATAAATAAAATAAATAAAATAAAATAAAATAAAAATAAAATGTCCTGGCCTGGACATTATATCTATGGCTTCTAAATCACCAACATTAAATTGTACAGCAATCACAGGCAGGTGGGTTCCTGAGAGCATTCTACTTATAGTATAGTAGATACTTATAAGATAGTACTTATACTATCACCTATGGTAGTCTCTTGAGGATTTGGCTGCCTATCTGAATTATTGTACATTTGGGAAGACTATGTTATATTAGGTCACTGTATAATAAAACTGTTTTTCAGTAACACGAGTATAAAAATGACAACCTCATTAATACTTTTGTGTTGTTTTCCACACTATGCTGTTTCATCCTCACTTTAAGTAACCTCTACACCCAATGTGGGGCTTGAACTCACAACCCTGAGACTGAGAATTCCATGCTCTTCCTACTGAGCCAGCTAGGCGCCCCACACCCTCAGTTTCACAACTGATCCTTTGGCCTTAGGGTCACCTGGGACTAGTGCTACCAAACTGTGACAATAAGCAAAATACTTACTCTAAGGTTACAGTGAGAAAAGACAACCTAGTTGTTACTGGCTTGTTATAGAATTAATTTAAATGAGTATTACTCTTTGGAATAAAATACATGTGTAAATTGTTCATCTCTTCCTTCTGGTGCTAAATATAACTTAAGGATTATAGGAAGAATAGGGGGGAAACAGGAAAGAAACAACATAGCTATCAATACAATAAAATTAAAAACGAAAGCAAGTGATGGGGCGCCTGGGTGGCTCAGTTGGTTAAGCGTCCAATTTCAGCTCAGGTCACGATCTTCATGATTTGGGGCCCCGCTTCAGGATCATGATCTTGGGCCCCGCTTCCAGCTCTGTGCTGACAGTTGGAGCCTGGAGTTTGCTTCAGATTATGTGTCTCCCTCTCTCTCTGCCCCTCCCCTTCTTGTGCTCTGTCTCTCTCTTTCTCTCTCTCTCAAAAATAAATAAAAACATTAAAAAGAATTGAAAAAAATGAAAGCAAGTGAAAGTGGTTTTCTCTTGGCCAGACTTTCATGCGTTTTCTTTTTCTTTTAGCCCCTACAGGCTCCTAATAAGTGTTACTTATTCAGTAAAACTAACAAAATTTTAACACCAGTTATACAGAAATACTAAATGAGACACTACAAAATTACCTATTTTCTTTTCCTTTTTGGCAGTGGTAGGATTGTAGGAAAATAAAAAGTAAGCTATTCAAGTTGAAAATTTGTTTGTTTCTTTTATAATGGAAAAAAGCTATGGAAGGACTATAATCTGATGTTGGATTATACCTGCCCTCTGACAATCTATATTAAGAAAGGCATGGTCAGTGAAAAAAAAAATGATATTAGGCTTAAAACTCATGGTATTTATAATATGTGTTCCAAAGAACATTATTACTAATGCTTCAAGGACTAGTCATAGTATCAGCTATGCTGTAAAGTGATATTAGCCTTGAGAACTTCCTTTTTTAATGTCATACTATCTAGTAATCTCACACAGCCCAGTTCTTCTGGTCACTACAGAACCCAGTCTTACAAGGGCACCAACGGTGACCAACAAGACAAGGGCACTCACGGTGTTAACCTCCCCAGGGACCAGGATATCTTAGAAAATGCACAGACTAAGAGGAATGTGTGACTCAAGGGATGAACTGCTGATAGTGACCCCTGGGGTGGCAGGAGATATTCTGGGAGGAAAAAAACCTGTCAAATTATACCACCAAGCGGGCAGCCCACTTTGCTTGTCACTAAGACTGGCACCGATTACCATATTCTATGGTATCAACACATTCAATGCTTTGCTCTATAGGGAATGGTCCTGGTATTGAAGGCTAATACGATATTAACTAAAACTACTCAACTTATATAAATGTATGCTGTATACCTTTGATTTGTATTTAACTTTCACTGGAGAATAACTTTTATGATTGCAATCAATTGATTATTTCTCAGGAATAAACATTTTCACTTCATGTAAATTCATGGCAATATTTTTAACATGTTACTTAACTGGCACACTACCCTTGTTAGTCTATTTCAGTACTTTATCAATGATACGCAGATCTTTCTAACTCCCAATGTAACATATCCAAAAATAGGAAATAAACTGAATACACAGCTTGGTATTTTCTTTTTTACAACTTTAAGGAAAATGCTGAAGACAGAATCTATGAAATGCCATATTAATTTACCCTAATTTTAGGTGAAATTATAAAATAGAAATTCATTAATTCATGTAAATAAAAATAATATCTCCTCGATAAAAGCTTACCATGTTTACAGATAATAGTGCAAATTAAATAATTTCACAATTACAACAGCCTCAAAATTGTATCTCATTCATTACTCAATTCTAATATCTTCTCCTAGTTTTATAATTATTCTGGAGAGGCTGCAATGTATAAATTCTATTAAAATCAAAGGACTTCCAGCACACTAACATAATACTGAAACCATTATGATTTCTTAATCATTGTTTTAAACATCTTTGTGTCTTCACATAAATGTTTATGCAAATGTAACTAATATGATAATACCACAATCCATTAAATAAAAAATACAGTAAGCTAGGTTAGTTTTTTAAGAAACAAGTAATGTACTCAAGAGCATTTTTCTTCTTCACTAAGATAGAAAAGTGAAACAAAATTAGCAATTCACTCCATGACAGAAAGTTTACTGTACTTCTAAATGCTTCACTGTCTCCAAAAATACACTTCTCATTGTTTTAGAACACACACACATTTTATATTTATGGGTTGGCATAGTTATTTTTTTTCTTGAGAAGACATTACAAAATGAAGCACTGAAATGAACAAAACTTCACAGGCAAAATTTAGGAAATCTGGAATCATCTTGCCTGGATCATAATTCAAAGACAGTGATAAATGCTTAGTCAGTGAGAAAAAGAAAATCAGTAGAAATATAATATGAAAAGTCTTTAAAATCCAAACACCAAATATAAAAACAGACTTACATGAAAGCTGCGAAAGATATTTAAAGAAATGAGGTATGACGGAGTCAGAATGCTACAATATATCCCAATGTATTAAGCTAATAACTATACTTCAAAGTTGCAAAATCAGCAAATCATAAACTATTTGCTGCTGTGTTCACATGACCTTTCTGGTCAGATGTTTAATAGTCACTAGTAAATACATTTAAAATAAGCACTAAAGATAACTGCATGATCATATGGTAAGCATACCTGCCGCTTAAGAAGGCAAATTATAAGTAAAAATGAAAGCAAACAATTTTGTATTAATAATAAATACAGCTTCAAGCATTTAACATTATCAATATTTTAAAAATTTAAATAATAAATGCAACTATTTTATACAGAACTGTACCATTTATTATACACACGTTTATCAGTTCCCTTTGTTTACAAAGGCTGGTTATAGATAATATGGAATGTTACAGTACCATCTTGCATAAAATTTTAGTACAATTTGTACTTGAAAAAGGGTGCAAAAACACCAGCCTAATAAATCTGACTGAATGAAATATCTTTTCTTTCTTTTTAAAAAGTACATCATTAACACATACACCACAAACTGTACATAAGCTCACTTTTAAATCACCAACTGAAGATACAGTAGCAGGTATGTTGCAGTATTAACTAACTCTCCATCAGTTTAACCTACTAAAGGCTTCCACCGCTGCTCACTCAGGAGCCTTTGTTGACATGTAAGCTTGTAATATGAATTACTGAACTCAGGTAAGTACAATTTAAAGGAGGCGAACAACAGCTGCCAAGAATTATTGGTAGTAAGAAATGTCCTTCTCATAGAAGACTCACTGAAGATCAAACAGTTTTTAGATAATCTTTCTTCTTTAAAATTATTATAGCTGGTCAAGATTCTCCATTTTGAACTTTGGATGCTGGTGGCTGCATGAAATCCTTAAAAGGAACGAGTGCCTCTTTAAGTGCAGAGCAGACTTCTGCAGACGAGCAGGTGATGCATTCGACTAGAGTTGGGTATAAAGCAATCACTTGTGCCCAGGTATTTCCATCAACTGCAATTAAAAAGTATAAAATCTCAAAAACGTGTATTTAAATAGCAGAGATTATCCAATTAAAATAACACAATCCTTTAAATACAAGGCAAAGAAAAAAATCCCCCAATATGGAGATTCCACAAGCTTATACCCTTTTCTTTTTTAATCTTTGGAAGACTTCCCGATAGATCGAATAAGATATGAGGGGGAAACATATGGTCAGAGTACAGAGTCATCCATACCAAGGAATGTGCTAAAGTCCATTCTAAATGATACTTCAATTTGTGAAGGCCTTGGAAGCTAACAAAGTAACTTGGAATTCAAACTTCTGTCATTTTCAGTGTAAGTGCCAGACAATGTAGTGCATATTTCAAGAAGAATTAGAATTAGAAAACAACTCAATTTCTTATGCAGTTGTATGCTAAAAATATAAATATTTAAATGGTTTCCCCAGTAATGTCCTTGATACTGATTTTAGTTTCAAGTGACCAAAGATCCACTCTTCTCTTGTACTGCTTCCTAATCTTTAACAGATATCACTAGATTTAAACTTCAGTGTGAAGAGACACGTCCGTGTTCCTCTCCACTATCACCAACAAGTAGTACAGTTGAACACTATTTGGTGAATGGGAAAAAGTGTTACATCCCATTTAGTTTATAATTTCCTTATACTCTGAGATCACATATTACATGTCTATTTTTCTGTAAATGCTGTGCATATTGCTGAGCGTGCAATATGCAACAAAACCAGCTGACAGATTTTGTTACACAGTATATGTATACGACACTATGAAACAAGTCTCAAATCTAGGAGGCAGTCTAGCATAAAAGAAAAATACTATATTATACACAAGGAACTTTGATTCTATTTTTCACTCCAATTCTCTTTATCTCAGCTTCTGTTGGAGAATAAAGGAATGCATTTCTTACACTAGTATTCTTCAAAATACTTCTTATAAAAACAATGACCAGGGAAGTTTGGCACATGTTGTATATATTATCTTCCTTTTGGGGGATTCATAATTCACACGAATTTATTAAAAACTTGCAGTAAAAAAGAGGCTTAACTTTATCTAATCCAGGATTTCCAAAATTAATTTGATTATGGGATTTTTTTACATTCAATATCTACTGACATCACTCATCATCATTAATATTCATTCCTGAGTACAAATCTTGGGAAATGCTGAACTGTTCATGCAATCCCTTCTTCACCCAAACAGAGGCTTCCTCAGACTGGAAATGGGAAAAAGAAAAAGGGAGGGGAGTGGATGGGTAATGGTGAAGGAGGGACTCAGGCCAGTGCTGTTTTTATCTGCTTTATATCTTGGGAATCCATAAGAGATCTCATTTGTAAAAAGAATTTTCCTGGGGCGCCTGGGTGGCGCAGTCGGTTAAGCGTCCGACTTCAGCCAGGTCACGATCTCACGGTCCGTGAGTTCGAGCCCCGTGTCAGGCTCTGGGCTGATGGCTCGGAGCCTGGAGCCTGTTTCCGATTCTGTGTCTCCCTCTCTCTCTGCCCCTCCCCCGTTCATGCTCTGTCTCTGTCTGTCCCATAAATAAATAAAAACATTGAAAAAAAAAAAGTAAAAAAAAAAAAAAAAGAATTTTCCTTGCTTAACAGAAAACAAACAGTTTAAAGAGAAGTTTTAAACAGTCTGCTCCAGCAGTCTTCTATGAAACTTTCCACTAATCATTTAACAAAAGATTGCACAGAGAGGATTCTGGAAGAATGGCAGAGAGGAAGTACCTGGAATCTGTCTACCCACCTAGACAACAATTGTATTGGCATAATCGGCTTGATACAACTATTTTGGAACTCTGGAGTCTACTGAAGGCTTGCAACTTCTAGAGGTAGACTTGGATAGTATATTGTGGTTAATTTTGGTCAATTTCAGCTCTTAGCACAGTAGCAGCTACCCATCCCTCACCCCTAGCCATGTGGTAGGCAGCTGTGCACGTGTTCCTGGAGCAGCTTGCCTGCAGCAGGCCACAGTGGGCAAAAAGACCATATCCTCCAAATATTGGGTATCTGTGCTCTGATCGCTGCTTCTGATCATAGAGGTATAAACAAAGGGACTTCAACAACAAAAAACAACTCAATTCAAAAAATGGCAAAGGACTTGAATAGACATTTCTCCAAAGGAGATATACAAATGGCCAATAATGTATACAAATGGCCAATAATGTACACGAAAAGATGCTCAACATCGCCAACAAAGGGAAATGCAAATCAAAACTACAATGAGATACCAACTCATACTGATTAAAATGGCTACTATCAAAACAAAAAATTAAAAAAAACACAAGTATTTGTGCAGATGTGGAGAAATTAGAACCTTTGTTCACTGATGGTTGTAATGTAAAATGGTAATAGCCACTGTGGAAAATAATACAGTGGTTCCTCAAAAAACAAAAAATAGAACTACCATATGATCCAGCAATTCTACTTCTGGGTATATACTCAAAAGAACAAAGCAGGGTCTTGAAGAGATTCCTGTACACACATTCATAGCAGCATTATTCGCAATAGCTAAAATGTGGAATTAACCCAAGTGTCTACCAATGGATGAATGGATAAGGAAAATATGAGACACACACACACACACACCACAATGGAATATTATTCAGCCTTAAAAAGGAAATTCTCCAATATGCTACAATATGAATGAAACTCAATGACATTATACTAAGCAATAAAGCCAGTCACAAAAAGACAAGTATTTTATGACTCAACTTATATGAGATACCGAGAGCAAAGTCATAGTAATAGAAAATAGAATGGTGGTGTCAGAAGCTAGGAGGAGCGGGGAATAAGGAGTTATTGTTTAATGAGTGTCGAGTTTCAGTTACAAGATGAAAAGAGTTATGGAGATAGATCATGGTGATGGTTGCACACTATTATGAAATTAATTAATACCACTGAACTATACACTTAAAAATGGCTGAAGATAAATATTTTATGTGTATTTTGCAACAACAGAAAAACTGGGGGAAAAAAAAGGTTGCACAGATTGAAACCTATTTAGATTGCCCCAGGTGGAGAGTCAACTGACAAAATTAATTCTTGGTTTACTTCTGGAAAATAAAAAAATATGCTGTTTAAGGGGGCCCCTGGGTGGCTCAGCCGACTGGGCATCCAACTTCGGCTCCGGTCATGATCTCATGGTTTGTGGGTTCAAGCCCTACATCAGGCTCTGTGCTGACAGCTCGGAGCCTGAAGCCTGTTTCGGATTCTGTGTCTCCCTCTCTCTCTCTCTCTCTGCCCCTCCCCTGCTCACATTCTGTCTCAAAAATAAATAAATGTAAAAAAATATATATATTAAAAATACACTGTTTAAGATCACATCCTAAACTCAGGGAAGGCTCTTCAAATTTCTTAAAATATAGTTTTTAAAATCTACCATACATATGGGGTGCCTGGGTGGCTCAGTCAGTTGAGCATCCAACTTCAGCTCAGGTCATGATCTCATGGTTCGTGGGTTGGAGCTATGCATCGAGCTCTGTGCTGGCATAGGATTCTCTGTCTCTCTCTC